CAAAATACAGTTCAACTGCTTATTCAATACTTTTTATATATACTACTTCCCACCCTGCTCTATCTTAAACTGTATTTAGGAAGGCCATCTTAAAGTAATGCAAATACGMTTCCTTAGAAAGGTGATTTTAGTGACCTGCAAATGACATATGCCGTTTATGTGACGACAGCACTGATAATGCGGAAAGCATTTTCCCTCACACGCAAGCAAAACACAAGAAATCATAAACCGTATCATAAACTTTCTCATCTAAATAACATAAATATCAAGAAGAACTGGATAATACTGGTGTAAATTTATACTGGAGAAGTTGATTTGAAAACTGATAGGAATAATATATTTAATTTAGAGAAGAACCTCTTTTGCAGTTTTCTGAGTGAAGTTAAGCTATAATAAAAATCTAGCTAATTTAAACAAGATATAAAAGCAGGTTAGCATAAAAAGATTACTTAATAAGAAAACGAATTTATTGAATATCTTTAAACAGATTTTGATTGGTAGGCTTGTATCTTATAGTGTCCAATGTCATCATMGTTGTTATTTTCTACAACCACATTAAAGATTAGTTCCATCTCGCTCTCACTCGCGTTTCTATTCATTACTCCTGATTGTGATGTCGCTGTTAACGTCGTACATTGTAGAACTACTATTAAAGAACAAAATATGACGTGGGCATTGAAACCTAGCGAGGAATTACTGTCGTCAAATAGTATTGCTTTAGATTTATTATATTATGTGAAAACGCCACAATGATAAATTAAATACAAACACTTTTGATGTGCGGGTTAAGCCGCGTCGACAGAATCGTCATAAATTCTGCTGTTTTCTCAGAATTCACATACCTAAATCAAAATAGCGCTATCAACTAGTAACGGTAGGACAAAAGAGAAGTCTGGGAAAAGCGAAGAAATACAGACTGCCATTGAAGATATTACTAAGGCAGACGTAAAAAATTGGATCGTGATAAGATTTAGCACGAAAGAAAACAATKAAAATAAAACACAAAAATAGAAGAACAGAAAATAATTAAATATTAAAATTCCAMATATGAGGAAACAAATTATGTAGGTTTGATTGTTTATATATTTTTTCTTTGGCTGTTACTKTTTTTTCATTCTACCTTATTTTCTTTTTCCTTTCTTTCGAGTGAAARATGTAATATTTTTGTTTGATCGATAGAAGATACTATGAACTTTAAAAGAAAATATTTTTTATGCTACGGGAGGTATACATATATACATAATATACATATGTTTCCTTAACGTTCATGCAACGAATATGTCGGAGCAGTCTCAATATTTGTGACTTTATATACGATAATTTCCAGGAATTTACAGCATTTCCTTTCCTTACGGAAAAGGAGCTCGAATTGGTTTTATATTTATTTAAGATAATTGCGTTGAATACCAATAAATCACTTGTGACTGCTTTAGGATTTAAATATATAGGTATATGTATTTGTGTAAAACGTTTTGTGTCTTCAGCTTCCTCATATACTACTTGTAACAGTAAAGCAGAATTTCTTGCGGCACTATTTTATATCAAAATTTTACACATTTTGGTCTCCATTTTGTTSTAAAGAGTTATTTAAAATGGTAATTAAGTTACTCTGCGGTGCAGGATTAGCAGCAGCCGAACGACTGTTCATAATACCCAGAGGCGTACGACGAGGAGCAGAAATCAGTTGGATATCATTTACGGCAGCAGACACTGGAGCAGGAGTGACGGCAGTGGAGGTKGTGGGTGGTGCTATTGTTGGTGGHGGGCCATTATCCAAGCAAAAATTGAGCGCCGTGTAGATTTGTCCCGTGCGCTCTATATACTGACGTTCACTCGCGTTTGAGCAGCGATAGGACTCGACGTCAATAAGGTTTATTTGCTGACGCAAGCTGGCTGCCAGATCGGAAGCATTATTGGAGACGGTGTAAATGGTGGATAATGTGTTTGATGACTGCAATAAGTAAATAAAGTTAATATTGAGAATAGAATGGATAATGTTTTTTCATATAAAGCTTTTTGCTTGCCACTCACCAAGTAGGCGAAACAGTCGAGCGCCGACAATGAATCGCTGGTCACATCACACGATTGCATATAACTACAAACGCTAGCGGCCAAAGTAGAGATGTCTTTCTGTTGCGAGCTCGCCTGCGCCAAAATATTATCACGACCATCTTCTGCCGCTTTCACGCATTTCTCATATTCTACGGCCCACTGGTTGGACGCTTCGTTCAGTAGCGGCACATAAACACTGAAACATTGCATTGATGACGGTGTTGTGGCGCGTCCTTGATGGGCCAGCAGAAAGTTGCCCAAAGAGATATCAGCTCGAGCCGAAATGTGGCTGGGGAGCGCGCACTATGAGAGCGTTATAAGTATATGTTAAAA